TCCGGTTGATGCGGTACCGGTACCCAGTAGCCAGGCTCATTCATCCACACCCATTGCGCTGCTGCGCCTTGAGAGCAAGCCCGTGCTTTCTCAGTCTCACTCAATGGATAAGTTGAGTTAAGGCATGTTTCTGGCTTCCTTCGGAACAAGAACCACCCGATGAAACAGAAGAAATCGGAGCACAGGGCACTTGACGCACAAGGTCCTAGGAGCCATAGCCTCCGAAGAAAGTAAAGCCCCCAAATTCAAAGGTCCTTTAGACCCCCTCCCCTCCAGGCCCAAGGCATCCTTGGTCCTTCAGCGGTGGGTCTGCACTAATTATCCCAAGCCTGCAATAGACGCGCCCCAGCCTTTGTCACCTGTCAAGACAGTCAGACTCAACTTGCGGCTATTGCTCTCACGCACTCTTACTGGCGTCTCTGGCGTCACTGGTGCCTTGACACACATCCTGGTGATGTTCTTGGGGAGTGTTGTTTGTCAAAGAAAAGCCCCGAACCGGGGCGTGTCTTTATGACCTTCGATGCTCTCGTCCAGGCTACAAGCAGGCCTATAAGGCTGCGATGCCTCTTTGGAAGTTAATTGTCTTATCCTCACTTCCTATCTCTCTATTCATAACATTCATAAAGCAAGCGTTTCTCGATTGATTCTCACTGTCTTGCCTTCAAGCTTCATCCTCCTTGTTCAGTGCCCCTTGTCTTCATTACGAACCCAGACCACGAACGATTTCTTCCTTTGTTGGTTCACATATTAGACATCTTACTGGGTTGTACAATTTCCTGTATTCTAAACCAACGACACCAGGCCAACAACTTCACGGCCCACCACCACAACCATGTGCTATCAACTTGTCGAGCTCTATTCGGCTTGCCGATGCCCCTACTACACCCATGCTGTTGATCGCTGCGCAGCATACGGCCGCCCAGGCCATCCCATCCAGCAGCGGACGATCCTCGTTGGTTACCTATGCTCTGCACACTCGAGTCATGGTGCTCAGTATGCATCACCACATAGCTACTCAGACAGTGGCTACCACAGTGGCTACTCGAGCTCAAAGAGCTATCGATGAACGATTCTGTCTTCGGCAGTGGGATCTTGCTCTACGAAACTGATAATATTCAAGTTCGACGACTGGGCTTTTTACCTTCTCTCCTGCAACCCATCGCAGCTCTCCTTTTTGCTAGCAGGATTTCGTTGGACTGGTGGAGTTCCGAATGAGGTTCACCGCTAGGCGTATGCTTTTTGCAGACCTTCTGGCTCTATTGTCGCCCATTGGGGCCTCCTCGTTTTGTGGGTGACCACTTCTGTTATGGAGATCACAGCAACGTTGCCGAGGGCATAGGAATGAGATATGACATGGACAAAAAAACGATCACGACGGAATGCCTTTTTTTCGGTAAGGGAGAGCAACTCACATCGCTGTTCTCCCTTCGCCAGCAATTCTTTCTTTCTTTCTTTTAACATACGGCGTTGTTTTCTTGAACTTGCCAGTGGTTCTTTATTTGCCTACAGCATTCATCAACGGAGGGAAAATCTCTCTACTCACATTGTCGGATGGCGTTGACTTATTTGACCTTTTTCCCCTTTGCACAGCGATGGATTTATTGGTGCGACTTCATTTTCGCTTGGCTGGAAACAAGTCAGGATACAGCGATATTGGATTACATCTAGGAACAGCAGGTGCTGAGAGCCTCACGGCGATTTTAGACGGTGGGATTTCTATTCTTGAGCATCATGGGCCGAGACATTACTGGTAACAAGTCTCCGCCCCCGGACTACGGTACTGCGATTTCTTTTCTTCTTCTTCTTTTCTTCTTCTCCGTGGATGTCTTTTTTGACAAAGGACGATCCACATCTTAGGGTCACTGGGACTTTTATTACGGTTTGCATTTGAACCGGCGGAGCTTACTAAAATGCTTGTAGCATTAGATGTGGACAACGGATGGCTGGCCATTATTTCATTTCTCTTGGAGAGGATCTTTCAAAATCTCCGATGTATTCTTTTTGTTTTCATACTGCATCACCTGGGCCTATACCTAACAAAGCATTGATTGCAAGAGTCACCCTGGTCATGTAGTACGTATGTTCTTGGCTTAGGAGCTGGGTTCCCAATCAAACAACGAGCAACAGGAAGTGTGACGTTGAACGTTACACGATATGAAAAAAGACAATTTTCCCTCTGCTCAATACTCTCAAACTCTTCTCGTGCATCATTAAATTAGCAAGAACATTCAAAGTAGAAAGCATGATTGGTGCCTATTTTACTGAGGCTTAGTTTCAACTCATCCTCTCGATCATCAGGCAAAGTGGGTCGTATGAAGTCAACTTCTCCACAACTTCACAACCAAGCCTTGAGAGCCTCGGCCGAAAGAGATGGTTACGTGCACGCACATTAAAATCATCCATATCTTCAAAGCCTTTACCTGCTTGCTCTAGCACAGCTGTAAGACTTCGAGGCGCTGAAAAACCATTGCAACGGCAATGCTAGATGTGCCATGGGGAGGCCTCAGTTAAGCCACTAGCTCTAAGTGCTGAGTTTGTGCATCGTACAGATAAAGGCAGAAAGGGCTAAAAACACTTATATCGACTAAGTTGAGTCACAGCCTTGCAGTTGCGGTTGCAGTTTCGATAGTTTGTCTAAGCCCATGGTCACGGCAATGGTAATGACGTCCGAGGTTAGCGTGTCCTATTATTAGGCCACCCACCCCGGTAGATTGCCAGATCGAGCCATGCGGGAAGGATGGGTGCGCTCGGCGAGAGTAAGGCCAATCAGCCTTGAGAGGGATTTCGGCTGTTTTACTCAGGAAACTTTTGACGCAGATTACAAGGAGGGCTGGGGGCTTGTGTGATTTGCGGGCGGTGCGCGATTAGGCGCACTGGCGCCATGCAGGGAACTATTCCGGGGTGTGAGACGATCAGACGGGTTGCCAAGGATATTGGGGTATGTGTTTTGGATAGATGAACAAGGAGTTTGTGTACCAATAAAGGTGATCTTCTACGTACGTTACAAGGACCTGACCGTGCAACGTCGTTGTGGAAAGGCTGCAGATTTCACTTAGCACTCGATAGCCTATACTGCCGAGTGTTATATTCCTGACACGAGCACAACAATCGAAATTTAAATCCCAGGTGGATGTAACAATCCCGTGCAAAGAAGCATCGCAAGCTTACAGCCAAGCTCAAGGTTGGATGAATTATGCAGTGTATAAGGGGAACCTGGGTGCTCAGGTGCAATTGGCCAGCACAAAACGGTGCTGACATGACGGAGAGCTACCTGAAGCTTGCATCTTTGGAGTTGGCGAACATTGCAAGGTGATTCGCCTATCGCTTGAAGAACTCATCAAAGGCTGAGGTGAGCCAAAGTAGTAACGCTACATCGTGGTAGTTTCCAGGGATCAGTTCGAAATAGGAATGGCACGATTCAGTTGTCAGAAACGGCTGAGGTTGTGTTCCATGCTGACGGCCAGAGTCCCCAAGAAATTAAACTAGACGATCCCTGGCTTGCCGAAGCCGGGCTGTTTGTATGCAGGGGCATGACGTCTGGTGGAGTGCTCAAGGCGTTTTTCCTCTGGAGGGAACAGGGGTGAGCCATCCCAGCTAGGGGGTTGGGGCGGCTGGCGCTTGTGAGTAGGGGTCATTCTGTGAGGGACGTGAGTTGCTGGGTCTTTGTTCCTCTCTATAGAACAGGCCTGTATCATGTAGGGTCCTTTGTTGAAACTCGGCTACAGTTACATCAGACTCTGTATCATGTTCAGCCTTACACGCGAGTCAGGTTTCTTGGCAGTGCAGCTCAACATGTCGTCATGATGAGCTTGGGCCCAAACTAAAATATTACTGTACCTTGTTATCTGATGCCAGGAAACGAGATATTCGCCTTGATTCAATCGCTCCTTCCTGAATAATGGCAATTATGAGAGAAAGGGAAGGTGAAATGGAAGGCAGGTTCGGCGAAACTGGGAAAGGCAAAGCCGCCATCAACCCTTCAGTGGCCTGACTTTTAACCCTACATCAACTCCATCAACAACGGCCTCTCCCCTCACTCTTTTCCCTTTTCCGTCTTCCGCATCCTAGCAACCGTTTCTACACATACATGATAGAATCATTAGTCTTCATCTTCATTCTCCCCCTGTGTTCAGCCTAGACCTTGTTGGGAATGCCCTCATGTTCAATGACCGAGTCTCTTGATCCAATATAACATCTACTCAAGCAATCGTCAGCAATACTTCTTTAAATTCAACCTTTTCCAACACGGCGTCTAGTTGAACATCAACTCCACGGCGTAAATCCCTTTGTCATCACGATACACTTTCGTATCCAGCGTCCAACACGCGACACGGCCGTCTGCTTTAGCACACGTTACGTGAAACTCCATCATGTTTTCTAACCTCATTGGCCACACTCTGGCCTTTCTCCCTCAAGGGAACTCTAACAATCACATCGGTACTGACGTTGGCGACTTCGATCAAACCCCTCCTCCGAGTTCACGTGTATCCGTGGACATGCCAAGAAGCGAGGATATGGGACCAGAGGCTATCAAAGAGTTGAGAAAAAAATACGACACCGCACCTCTTGGGCATCTTAAATCACCATTGACGAATTCAGAAGTTTCTGGCACAAATAAGTGGGCTCCTCTTGCAAAGACTCAGCAATCCGAACACTCGGCAGAAACAATAAATACTCTGGGCGCTATACCTGCCCCCCTTTACCTCAAAACTTCTTTATTACAGGACGGGATGACAATACAGCACAGTCCTCTAGAAGCTTCTGTGAGAGGCCAGAATGATCACCAAGTTGAAGATGTTTCAGGGACTACAGGGATTCTGTGCGCCGATAATGACCTAGAGTCATCACCAGGGGAGATTGGCCAGCGGCCAACATTGGAACAGAACCCGCCTAGATCAAGGGGTATCTTATCGAATAAAGACTAGAAGTCCCAGTCTCCTTCGGTGAAACTGGGCCCAAACTTTGACCTCCTTCTGAGCGATTACAGAAATCGGCTAAATATGTCAACTGATGAGGGCTGGAAAAAGACTGGCATGAACTGTCCTGGCGGAAGTGCTTCAGAAGACAAAAGCATTGCTTCTCCAGAAAAATATGCGGTCTTTACGAACGCTTCGAGTGTTGGTGACCAGGATGCTAGACGCTTCTCATCGCTCAGCACAGGCTCATGCCTACACAATATGCCGTCGTCAGACACACAGCTGCATGGCTCATACGTCCAAAACAACAGCTCTCACGACACCAATTGTCCAGAGTTATCTCTGATGGAAGACCAGAGCTTATTGGCTACAAACATAAACAGACCAGTCCGCAGTCAATCCTCGGGATCTATTATGAGCTGTTTATGGAAAAGTCAGTGGCTCAGGCGACTATCGCGCGCAGCAAAGTCAGACGGTTCACAGCTTACCAAGCCTCAGCCTGGAATCAAACTAATCAGATCAGATGATCGACGTCCATCAGAGCCTGTTTTGCCAAGTAGTATGGCTCTGCGTAGAATGTCCGCCTGCTCAACTCTATCTGGCAAGTCTGATCCTGGAGTTGACGGGGTACTGTTCAAACGTGCATTCAGCGATCTTGAGAGGCTCCTCGATGAAGCTCTCTCCCTCGCCTTGGATGTCGCGGATCATTCGGAAGCCGCAGCTTATGCTAGTCACCCTGCCGCATCGAAAGAGCATGGCGCCGATCGTGTGGACGAATCAAACATGTCGATGGACGACAGACCCCAAGAAAATGTCGAAACAATTCCTATAGATGGATCAGATATGGCCTACCCAGCGAGGCCAGGCTGCAGGCGTGCTGCCACTTACACTGCCGTACCCAAACGCCCGCGGCTGGCCGATGTAGTTGAGAGCTATTCCGGAACCTATCAGGAGCTTCGAACAAGGACTCAGGCTGCACGAAGACAACAAAGCGGCACCTCACGACGTTCTTCACTCAGCAGAAAGTCCCGGAAATCTCACAAAGGGTTCAAGACGGATCGTAGACGGAGGCCAATTATGCTGAACGATCTCCGCAGCACAACTGCCCTTCTTGATATTGGAGGAATGGACGTCAAAGAACAAACAACAGCTCGCAAACGCTCGGCAGCTGTGGAGGCTTCATCAGCCGTTCGAAGTGGGACCATTCATGATGCTCTACCAGAACATAACATTGCTGGGAGAAGATTGCATGGCGAACACGGCATCAATCTTCGAAAGCGATCGCACGTGAGTCTACAGGACATGCAAGGTTTCAACCTTCCAAAGTCGCACATCAGGCAACCGATTGCGAGGGACTAGTCACCCGTTCGCAAGCGATTTGTAGCATCTACTGCCTGCTTGAGCACAGCGCTCATCGGAGTACTACTTGGTATCTATACGGGCCTAGTCCCATCAATCCAGTATTATATCGTGGATCAATCACATGTCACTGTTCACGGCAACACCGGTTGTTTCCTTGCCCTTGCTATTCCGTCCTTCTTTCTCTGGCCATTGCCTTTACTCCATGGTCGGAAGCCGTATATAATGTCAAGTCTCATTATTGCAATGCCTCTTCTTTTTCCACAGGCAATTGCAGTCAGCAGTCCCAGGCTGACCAACACTGCGTCTTGGAGGGTAATGCTGTTGGCCTCTCGTACCCTAATGGGTGGCTCTTTGGGCTTTGCGACTATGAACTTTCACTCAGTTCTGACCGACCTTTTTGGCGCTTCCCTAATGTGTCAGCATCCCCATGAAGAGGTTGTCGATCATTTCGACGCAAGAAGACATGGTGGTGGCATGGGTATTTGGCTTGGTATCTGGACCTGGTGCTGGATTGGATCTCTTGGACTTGGTTTTCTCATTGGTGCAGCTATCATTGATAAACATTCGCCAGCATGGGGCTTTTACATCAGCATCATGATGATTGCAGTTGTCTTGATTCTCAATGTGATATGCCCCGAGGTCCGACGATCTGCATTCCGACGGTCGATTGCAGAAGTCCGAACAGGGGGGGACATCTCACGTCGTCTGGCTCGAGGAGAAGTGATGATGCATCGAGTCAAGACAGGTCCAAAGTGGTGGGGACAGGAAGCATACCATGGTGTTCGTTTATCCTTGGAGATGCTTGAACAACCTGGCTTCGCGGTTGTAGCGATATACGTCGCCTGGATTTATGCACAAGTCGTTCTTGTCATCATTCTGCTGGGCTCACTCGTATCTCGCTTCTATCATCTCAGATCGCCATATGTCGGCCTTCATGTCGCCGCCGTTGCACTCGGCGCTCTCCTTGCAATTCCTTTCCAAAAGGCCAGCATCTTCTCCAGATCTCGCAACCGAGAAAATAAAGTTAACCGCGAGGTCCTAGGCAAAAAAATAGTATGGTCTTCACATCTAGTCCGCCGGGCCGTCTTTACTATTGCCCTTCCGATTGGCGGCGCCTGCTATGCTGCTGTTTCGTCAGGACCACCAATCAGTTCTGGCGTGCCAACCTTTTTTGCCTTATGTATAGGTTTTCTATCCTCCCTCGCCATTTCAGAATGCAACGGCCTCATCATGGAAACCTTCGATACATCGGATCTGTCTCCCGGAATGGTTGGTCGCCACCGTGATCCCACAGGTCAAGACCAGCGTCGAACCAACTACTCCTCTTTTCCAAGAGTGACAGCAGGATTCGCTATGATACAATCCTTCTCATACATACTTGCGGCTGGCTCAACTGCGCTGGGCGGTCATGTAACGCGGAAGCTTGGCCAACAAGTTGCCACGAGCGTCGTAGCTGCGATACTCTTCTTGTTGACTGTCCTCTTGTTGCTTGTTCTCATCCGGTTCAAGAATGTGCTCATCATACCTCGTTCAAAATCAGAAGAGATGGAGAGAATTACCCAAGCGCGTCGGCGGTCTTCGAAACGCCGAGCTTCCATGCCCAATGACTTGCGTGCACTGATGGAAGAGGATTATGCCTGGCGGCCCACAATGATAGGAAACCCGATGGGCAAAAACCGCCGAATGAACGTATTGGAAATGGGTAACCTGACAAGGTGGCAAGATATTCGACGGCGAAATAAGCTCATTGATGCGGGTGTCCATCTCAATCGTGATACGTTGGATCAAGGTCTAGATGCTCTAGATGTTGCGCTCGAAAACCATATTGATAACATGCGACAGAATGCATCTGGATTCTTCAGACGAGGGAGCTTAAGAAAGCATGGAAGCCGTCTCCGTCGCAGCAACCAAAGCAGTGAGCAGACATTTCATGACTTGGAACTGGACATGCTTGATCCAGTGGGTACGCCGAGTGAGTCGTCCCAGCAACCTCGACAGTATGTCGAGAGGGAATGTGTTATGGGTCAAACAATCAAGGAGGAGAACAAGGACGAAACCCAAGCTGGACCTAGCACTTTGCAAAAAGACCACACTTAAAGGACACGAAGAGTATTAATGAGAGAGTGTGACCTATAGAATTAGAATGAATGTCTAGGTGGTGTAGTATAGGTGCATGCAATAATTTCCGCCCTGAATTCGTGTGCGGTCCTGAGGCATTTTTCCGTCATCTATGACTGTTGCTAATGCTCATTGTAGCTTCCAAATGCTTGACTATTATACAAAATTGATATGTGGTCTAATTCACGAAACAAAAGAACGATGGTGCATGTGTCGACGAAATCTCTATATCTCCATTTTATTGTACGTTCAAGACCAGGTCATCTCCTCGCCGTGTAGGGGTCAATGTCGGCTGCCAATGCGGCGACATAGGAAGGTTTGGTGGTGTCTTGTCTTGAATATCACGATTCCACTTTGAAGCGCCAGTTTTGTCTGTACCAATAGTCATACCAGCGGCGCGATCCAAGCCGACGCGCTTAGCTAGAAGTGAATCCTGGCTATCAGAGTGAACAAGTGAAGGTTTCATTGATTGCGGGGGGCGGTAACTCTGGTATTGAGCGGAGTGCATTTGAGCCTGCTGCCCGGCAGGATAGGGTTGAAATGACTGGTAACCTCCTGTATTATGAGGGTAAGGTTGGTGGCTTGGCCGAGGATGGAAAGAAGGGTACATCTGTGGTTGTTGGTAGGGCTGCTGGTGCGGGAATGTGCGCTGATAGGACTGCAGAGGCTGCTGTTGCTGTTGCTGTTGCTGGAATGACGGATATGCTGTGGGTGTACGTTGTATAGGCTGCCAAGGGTTTTGTTGCTGCTGCTGCTGCTGCTGGTTGTAGCGTTGTTGCGGGTGATTGTGTGGATGCAGTCTCTGGACAGGTTGCCAGGCTGCCTGTTGTTGATGAGGGGAAGGTTGAAACGAGGGAGGCCTCTGATATGGTTGGTACTGCTGAGGCTGAGGCCCTGATGCAGAACGGCGATGCTGAGAAGTTTGGCGGGACTGAAGAGGTTGAGGATATGGTGGGTCAAAATAGAAGGGGGACACCCGGATCTGATCTTCTTTGACACTCGCGGGTTCTGTGGTCTCATCTGGTTCCGGAGAGGGCTCCACAATGCGCATTGTCGATAAGGCTGCCTGTATACCTGTGTTGTCGGTGGGTTGCAGGCCCTGAACAGCTGGTTGAGGTTTCTGTTGTGGTTGCGCATTCAGCTGCGCTTTGGACTGTAGTGCCACGTAGTATGCACTAGGAGGCTGCATCAGACCCAAGGTCGGGCTTGGCTGCCCAGGAGGGCTGTAAACTACCTGTCGCGTAGGAGGGGCAGCTCGCGGATTGACACTGACACCAGAGTTGCCCATCTGGCTGGCACGTCGAGGATCTCGTGGGGGGATCTGAGGCTGCTGCTGACGAGCTCGGACTGACTGTGGAGATTCAACAACAGGAGAGAGGCTGACTTGCTGTTCTGGTGCCACAGACGGAATGCTTGAGGACTCGGTTGAGGTGGTGATGATGGTGGCGCTACTACTGCTAGAGTCTTCACGTGGTCGAGTCAGGGGTCTTGCCATGGAACGACGATTGGAAGCGCTGCGTCTTGGGTGAGACTGGGAAGAGAAGAAGGGGGAGGGATACTGCGGACGAGGTAGACCAGGTCTGGACGGTGCACCACCAGGAATAATCTCAGCTGGAGGAGCAAGCGATCTAGTGCCGCTTCGTTCTGTACTAGTGAGGGGGGCGCTATCATTGTTGGGTGGTCTTAATGCTCCCTCCTGAGAAACCTTGGACTCCTGCGACCCTCGAGCAATCACCGAGGCACGCTTCGGGTTTCCCAGAACCCAATTGCCGTATTGGTCGGCGACATAATAGGTTGTTGCTGAAAGAGGCGTTGTTGGTGGTCTCCAGACTTGAGTGCTGGCGTTTGGAGATATCGACGTACGGTCTTCTTCAAACTCCGTCACGTTACTCTCACGGTTGCTCATCCGTACAGCTGGTCCATCCGGTTTCTCGGCTTGTGGTATTTGTAGCTTCAGTGGTGCGGGTGGTGTCGGCTTAGATCTTCCTGTCCAAGCAGCAGCATCGAGTGTTGGCGGCGGTGGTGGTGGTATTGAAGAGCTCTCATCTCGCGATGAATGTCCATCATCTGGGCGTCTACCGTCAGCTTGCTCCGCATGGAGAATAGGCAAGGGCTTGTCAATGGTGTCTCCGGCAGATATATCCGGTAGGGTCGGTTTCGCAGGGAGCAGCTTTGATAGTCGCCTCAATGGAGATGTATGCACCGCCGTGTTGCGGCTCGAGGGAGGTGGTGATAATGCTACACCAATGGCTTCAGGCTTGACACTCCTACGGTTGGAAGTTGGCGGCGGTGGTGGGTGATTTGGAGGATTCAAATCAGGTCGCAGTTGGTGAACCATCCACGAATTATGTCCACCGTTGTCAGATCGATCTGGCTTATAACCCCAGGTGTCCCTCATGGGAAGAAAACCAGTCTTGATCTGAGGATACTTTCTTCGTCGATGGTATCTTGCCAATACAATAGCTCCAACGGCAACCCCCACTGCGGCGAGGACGCCGACTGAAATACCAGCGACCTGCTCAGTGGAGAGTTTGGCTGAATCATCGCTGTCCTCGTCTTTGCTTGCCCCACCAGCACCACCCTGTACGCCCGTGGTGGTCTCGGACTCTGAACTCGAAGTTGAAGTGTATGTAGAGGTCTCAAATGTAGTGGGCTTAGTGAACGGAGGCTCCGTGATCGAGATGATATCTGAATCATCTGATGAATCAGTCGTAGAGTGTTCTCTGGCCGTCGATCGTGTTGTTGAGCCAACTGGTTTCGTCGATGGTCTTGGAATAATAGGGGGCGAGGATGTGTCTATGACCAATGTTGTCGGCAACGTACTAATAGCGCTAGATGTATCCGGCCGTGAAGTAGTCTTGGTAGTCACTGAGGGAAAAGTCACAACTCCTCCCGTAGGAGCTAAAACTAATGTTGCCGTGATGGTGAGATAAGTAGGATGGACCGCGCCAGGTCTCCCATTGCAAATATCATATGCATTTTCGATGACTCTGTCTGCTTCCGTGTAAGCGATACACTCTTTGTGTATTCTGTGGTTCGTAGTACATACCACTGGCTTCGACTATGGAGCAGTAACCAATGGATCGTTCAGCAGATATGCATTGCATTGCACCCTCACCGAGAGTGAATCCCGAGGCGCCCCTTCGAGAACACAGACAATCCAGCAGAGGTTTTCCGGTGCAAACTTTCTGAGCATAATTGACGTTGAGGAAAGAGGCGAAGCATTCTCCGGCACAGCTGGGGATGAAACTCGAGAAGTCGTTGGAGATATTAGTCGCGAGTACGACAGTTACACAAAAGATCAACCATGCCGGCATGAAGGAAAATGGCCAGCTGGCCATTCTACAACGAAACATCTAATAACGGAAATCAGCTCGAGCTTTAGGCAGGGCACGTCGGGCTGGTGAACTCACCTAAAGAGAAGGGTATCCTATTAAAGGAGATGGCCAGCATCTCAACGATGTGGATTCATGAGCAGTCGTGACAAAATGACAAAGGAACAAAGGGAAAAAGAAAACCAAGGAGAAATTAGTTAGTGAGAGTTTGTACAAGCGGTCACAGAGGATACGACAGAGGAAAAGGAGAAGAGAAGAGAAGAGAAAATGCGAAACACAGTCACAACGGATGGATGCGTTAGGAAACAAGGGGGCATATGAAGACAAGACTGAGCTGGACTGGACTGGCTGGACTTTGCATAGGCATGCAGCATACACATATCTCAGCAGCCGCCGTCTCCGGCTACATCACGCAAGCTGATCATGACATGTAAGGCCAGCGCTTGCTGGGCGTTGTAAGTCGTGGCATCTGCAAGCCTCCTCTTCAGGTGCAGGGCCTCTCGAGGGCTATGGAACCGCCAGAGCGGGCCCTCGATTGCTCTCTGCGTCATTATGGGAGAGGCTAGATCCGAGATATCCTGCTGCAAGTGCTTTCTATTTTTGCGCGCGTGCAATGCAGAGCCGAAATACTTGGACGATCCGAAACTCGACGGACGGTGGACGTTTTGTTTGGCGGTTAGAGTTCGAGCTATGACTGGCTGAGGCTTCTTGTAGCGCCGTTAGACGCGGGAGGGCCCTTATGGGCGTCAGCAACTGACAGCCAACCACAGCCAATCCCCCAACGGGAAACATGATGACTGATCACGTGAAGCCATCTCCGTCCAATTACGGTGTTCGTATAGCCTCAGTTGGGGGCCTAGTATAGGCCATGCTAAGGTACTGTTCCTCTCCTTCTGCTGCAGATCGGCCACCTTTATTAAGCTTGATATTGTAGATGTGATGACTACACTTTTTACGCCTTGGCTGGTTTCAAAGTCAGTTAGGTGGTCATCGTAGACTTAGCCTCTTAGAGTTCCTCTGAAACGGTCACCTCCAGCCCAGCTGAAAGGTCTTAGCGTTACTTCGTCTTGACTGTTCATGGACCCTTCGGTTCGTCGCGAGATCCTAGAGACAATATTGGGGCTGACCAAGAGACCTTATCCTTGTTTCAGTCCGGTTCGAATCGGCGTCTATGAAACGATCAAATAGTGATGTGACCCACAATGTCTTGGCCTTCTTCATATCATCATAGCCAAACGGTATAAGCACCATCACCTATTATGCTACCATGACATAGATCTGTTGATGTCTTGTCCGTATTCATGTCCACTCGCTCCCTCTTCCAGTAACAACACCCGACTCACCATGCAAGCTGGGTGTTCTCATCACCTGCAATTTATTATCTCAGTAGCAGACTTGGTCAACTTTACGGGATATATTCGCATTGAAGATCTAGATTCTCTCCTATTTCAAGGCTCGTCAACCTTCACACGGGTCTCTTATCAGGTGCATCCTTGCCAGGCGTACCGTCGTCAGAAACACCTCTGTGCGGTCACGATGCTCAAGCCGAATTGCCAGGCGAAAGATGGAAAGAGTTTCGTAAACGATAAAGATCAACAACAACCTTGGACGCCGACGCCGACAATAACACCCACAATAGAACCACAAATCCGCCAGGGCACGGGAAGCTCCGAATACCACGAGGCCATCTCTTGTCTGTGGTAGATGAAAACGCCACATATAATGCAGCTTCGCCCTCAGTCCCCACCAACCAAATGCTATGCAAACATCAAATTCCTCTATTAACAATCTCACATGGCCATTTCAGCCTGCAGCTTCCGAAGTTCGGCTTCCTCGTCATCTTCTTCAACTGCCTGCTTCTTGCTTGACACGGCTGTATGATGTCAGTATTTACACAAAAAAGAACTTGAGCAAGGGCACATACGCTCTTCCCTAGCCGGCGTGGGTAGCTTATGCACAGCATCTGACACGGGGACGGTGCCCGTCTTGAGCATCTGTTCGTCGAGCTGCTCCTGTTGTAGCTCATCCAATTCGTTCTCCAACTCATCCTCGTCGATCGGCTCGCCTAATGAGTTCGAGGTGATTGCGTTGACAATCTCGTCGCTCATTGCATTGTGCTCACGCAGTTCGTCCCTGTAATTTCGGATTAGCCAGGGACACATCTCATACAAACCGGCATAAATAAGCGTGGCGTCAACGTACATTGTCGCATCAACCTTGTCCACCGTAAGACCTCCATAGATCTGCTTCATGGCCGCGTTGGCGTTGCTCATGGCTGCCAGAGTCTCCTTGTTGATATTGGCGGACTCGATCGAGTTGATTTGCTGCTCTAGTGTACCGATCTGGGCAACGGTTTGCTCGAGCGCGTGCTCGTGTGTCTTCTTGCGCCTCAAGGCCGCTTTGGCCGCTATCATATAGATCAGCATCTCTGCCCCGCATTACGAATCTCATTGAAATGATCACGTACCGTTCTTGTTGGTGCTCACATTCTTGCGTGCGGTAGCATCCTGCTCGTCGATCTGGGTCTGGAGATGTCTCTCGCGCTTCTGCAACATGTCAAGCTGCGCTCGCAGCCCGAGGATCGCATTCTTGGGCGTGTCCTTGCGTTTTTGGGCCGCGGCGCCACCAAACCAACCCCACATGTTTACAGTTGCTGATCTGTCAATATTGGGGAGAAATGTGAGTTTGATGAAGGAATAGGAGCGCGAGTCCTGTTCCTCTTATTAGGCGATCTTGTCGTGCAGTGTCGGGCCAGAAAATGGCGTAATGAGCCTCGACTCAAGTGTCGGGTAGTGGGGTCAGGCTCCAGGAGAATAAATCCACTGGGGCTACACAGAATATCGGAAGCTTCTAGTATTAGATGGACGAGAAGCGCAATATACCCCGTAGGTTGTCGTGCTCGTTGTCGTCAGCGTCGTCGTCCTAGGTAGTGTAGAGTTAAAGGTAGCCTGCGGGACTCTTATCGTTGCCAGTGTGATGACGGCACCTAGGCCTTGCCCGCTATTTCCTCTTAATTGCATATTGTGGGGCTGTCTGCTATAATTGCAAGATCGCTCATGTGCACCCGTCTCATGTGACGCAATATTCACATGGCCGATCTCAATTACCCCTGTCACTCCGACCAAATATGAGGCTATTCGCAAGTGAGATATGATAGATGAACTTCAGGTGTAATAGCTTGGTTCTTTTAGTATGCTCATGCTTGAGTTATTCTTTCATAAAACGGTATTCACTTTTCCGCCTCTCCACTTCTTGACATGCTGGAATTGCAGAAAGTATATAGGTATAGTATCTATGTTCGTCGACTCATGTTCAAGCATTAGTAGGCAGCCGATGAGAAATTCATTGGCTAATTATATTGATGATTATCATCAGTGTATCCTTGACTCCAGAAAACGGCCCATACTATCTACCTACCTATATTACATCTGGCTCCATACTTCGTTAGCGCCCTCTATGTAAAGCTCCTCTTCCTAACACACATTACTACTGAATTTTCATGGCACAGCGCGTTTCCTGACTAATAATAAGAAGCCAGTTCCTAAATATTACAGGAAGCATCTGCTTCACTTTTAGCCCCTTCCACCAATAGATACCCTAGCGCCCACATTGACCGTATTAAATACGCGACAGATCGAGTCGAATCAAACGAAATAGTTACACGCTGAAGGATAATTTTGGTTGTTGCTCATTTCCAAGCTTAACTTGAAGGTGAACATCGGCCGAGTGGCCTGGAAAAAGTGTTGGAAACGTTAACGGCGTAACGTCATGAGTGCGTGTATGGAGTGAGCTGGTCGAGAGTCGTCCGGTAGATAAGTTAGGTCAAAAAATCAACTCCACTTGCTCTCCAGAATGCGGCTCTCATCATAAGTTACCACCCTTCTCTTGTGTATCGTAATGCCATACGATGTAGTTTGGGAGACCAATAACTTGATAGCCAGCACGCTTAGCCATCTTGGCAAAGCCCTCGGTCTCGGCCTGGTTCTCGAAGGCATACGCTGGAAAGTTGATGCCTAAAGCCGATGTTAGTCGCGACGTAATGGAACTTGATATACTGTGACCACAAACCTGATCGATGAACGTCTGCCTTGACCAGAATGTTGACACCACCAATACCATCCAGTTGAACCTCAACATCTTTGTTTTCGCGCCAATCCCCCATCTTACACATGTATTCGCGCCCAGTGTCGAATTCCTTGTAGCCTTCGACAATGACTGTATCCTTCGGCAGGCTGTTCGCGAGCTTTCGGCCTTTGTCGGACTCGATCCATGAGTTGTAGTCAACTGCGATTGCAAATTAGTAAGTCTCAGGTCATAGCTAGACTTGAGGAACTTACATCGACCTTCGATATCAACACCCTTCTCGAACCTGTGGAACCAAATGTCTCGGATGTGTCAGTGCCATGATGTCTCAGAATATCCTTAAGAGACTTACTGGGCACGAGAATATCTCTGTCGTGCGCAACAAAATCTTCAATGATCCGTCTTGGCGCTTGTTCGATATCGACGTCACGCCAGTACACCCACGAGTGCTCTGGCTTCAGAGCTGTAGCCAAGAGGTAGTTTCTTGCCTTAGCCATGGCTTTGCGACGTGGCGCTTGTACCTCAAACCCATGTCTCTGCTCTGCATCCTGGCTGAGGTGGAAATGGAAGTTCTTTTCGACAACAGTAATACTGTTGAATGGCACCTCGTCCTTCCGTTTTTGTAGGTGGTCTAGCTCGGAAGCAAGGACAGCGAGTGTGTCGTCTTTCGAGTCAGATATTAAAAAGGCGAGATCGATCAGGCGGTGCGGATAAGTGAGCTCTGCGATGAGTTTGAAGTAGTTCTTGAGAAAAGGAGCGGCATCTTTCAGAGGTGTTAAGATCAATACTCGTTCGTTTCGGATGAGGGCCTGTGGGCTCGAGGTGATCGGGTTCAGGTCGATGTGCTGGATCGAAGGAGATTCGACTTTTAGTGGTTTGTGATGGTTGAAGAGGACTGGTGTCTGCATGTGTGCATTCCATAG